CAGATTTGAACCCAGGAAGATGAATGTTCCTAACTTCAGGCCTGGCATTCTATCCACTGCACCTAACTGCCCTGATAAATAGAAATTCAATTGCAAAACATTCAGAGGAGACTGAAGGAAGTTTGCTTTGAAAAACAGCAATAAAACCAGTAGAATGAAAGAGTAAACAGGAAGAATGGCATGAGACTCAATTAAATCAGATCATCTCAAGAGCATTAATGGCTTAACTAAAAGAATAATAAATCAGTGGAAAATGGAACAGATTTGCTAACACTGTATTTTGACTTGAAAACCTTAGTATGGTCTATATGAGAAAGTAGAAATTACATTTAGAAAGTATTTTAATACTTCTTAAAAGTATCTGTGAACTGATGCTTCAAGTATTTTCTCCATTAGTGCAGACTTCAGCCCTTTCAGCCTTTCTTTGAAGGGTCAGATGATTTTGTTTTCTCATCAGCATCCTAGCAGTATCCCCTGAACATCTGGTAGTTGTGTCTGCATCAAGAGGCAAAGACAAACAAGGCATTCCGACTCTACAAAGAGTCCAGCAGAAAATACATCAGACCTAATGGAAACCTTGTAAGGGCTCCATGAAGGGAAGAAAAGGAATTCTAGCAAAAGAACTTCCAAGTGCTATGATGATCACCTTTGCCACATCATGAGCTCTAAGTTTGAGCCCATTCACTCTAGACTCTATGTATTTGTGGAAAAGTATCTCCCAAAATTTTGGGGGAAAATTTTTGTACCAACTGTTCTTACCATACCACCTTATTAGTAAGAACAGTTGGTATAAAACATTTCTAAAAGCTAATTAAGTCTGGCAGGCTAATTGATGTCAATTAATTATTATTGAGCTAACATACTGGTGGGGGCTCAGCAGCTATAATAATAGAAAAGAAAACTAACCCCTTGAGGATTACCCTAGAATCCTGAGGAGTAAAGTAATTACCCTTGGGGGACCCAACCTGCCCCTGTGAATACGGGTTTAGAATAGCAGTAGGCAGCCCTAACTGGTTACTAATATGTGATCCCTGAGCCTGTTCTACAGTAGCAATTGTACTAGAATGTTCTTTGAGGAAGTCTATAGACCAAGAGCTGTCCAGAGTGGTGCCAAGTGAAATAAAGAATAATAAAAGCACATTCTTCTTGGATCTGTAGTAAATGCAAACCCATTCAATAAAACGATCAAAATGCATTTATTAAGTGATTGCTATGTACAAACAAAGTAAACAGAGGCTAAGTGATTTGCCCAGGTTTGCATAGCTAGTAAGTATCTAAGGCTAGATTTGAATGCAGGTCTTCTTAACTCCAGGTCTATTGCTCTATGCACTGCATTCAGGCAAGAAATGGGAGTAGTCTAGACTCTCCTATTTGATAAATCTTCCTTATGCAAAGTAGATTGCCTTAGTAAGGTAGTTGTTCTTTTCTTACTTAGGGTGACCAGCCAGTTATACTTCCCAGATTCCTATTTAGGTCTTATTCAAATCAGCAACTGTGAACAAAGGTATCCAAGCAGTCTTTGCCCTCCAACAAGTTCATTATCTCACTGGCCTATTCATATTCATTTGAGTTATTCAAGTATCAGCCCATTTCTAATATTCCTTACATATGAAAATGGTTTCCCTTTTATATTTCAGTGTGTGGACTTCCTCCCAGTGTAACCTCAGTTTTGCTAAGCCTCAAAAGGACATACTACTATACCATATCCAGTGCTTAGCCCAGTGCCTGGCACATAGTAGGTACTTAATTGATTATTGATTGACTGATTATATACTAATAGTATCTAGAAATCCACAGAGTGGCAGGTTTGTTACATAATGATGCTCTACCCTGTTGCTGCACCCTTCTCCCTACCAAACAGAAAGTCCAGAGATTTTGGCCCATTGGCACCCTGCTTTAAAGCCCTCCTCCATTTCCCCACCTTTCCACCTCCAATCCACTCAGCTTTGGGATTCCTCCTAGGCCAGAAGTGTTCTGTTTGGTGAGTGAGTGAAAAGTAAAAGCAAGTTACTTTAAAGCCTATAGATATCTTGCCATCTGCCCTGCAGCTAAAAGTGGAATCCCTTCTCCCCCCCTCCACTTAAACTTTCTCTATTTCTTGCCGTGGACCTGGGAATAAAAGTATCACCATTATTACTGGAAAAGGGCACAACAATCTGACACCATCTTTATAGCTTCGTTCATAATCCCTGCGATTACCTTGATTAAAAGTCTCTTTCCTGGACACTACTCCCTTATATGTAGTTTCCACTATTAGAATGTAAGCTTCTTGAAACGTATTGTCTCATTTTTGGCACATAATAATATACAAATATTATTATTATTATCATTATCATTATTATTGCTATCATGGTTTTCAAAAGGGAGAGACTTCCGCCCATCCTAAGCTAAGAGTTATCAGTCTTGCTGAAGAGAGCTTGCTCACCATCTGTGACACATTCTCACTATTTAACCCTGTTGTTGTTGCAAGTCACTTAACCTCATAATGCCCTCAATCATCTCTCAAACCTGTAGACCTCTCTAAGATTGTAATTTGCCTATTGGCATTAGTGGAGAAAATTTCTTTACCAGGAGTTCCCTATACTAGCTTTAGAGTAAAAAAAAATTTTTTTTGTTGCCATAATTAATACTAGGCTTGCAGTCCATTAAAATCCCCAGATATTTTTACCCCAAACTGTTATTTAGTCTCATTTTCCCTATCCTGTGCTTGTGTAGTATTGATGTGGATACAAGCAGCACTCTAAGGGTTAAAAAGAATATTTAAAGGTTGCTTTTCCAGTACTTTGGGGATCCTGTAACTTGAGGGCATTCTAAAGTTTTTTCCCCTTATCTTGAAATACCACAAAACTTATCTTCTAAGACCAAAAGCAATCTTTCCTTCCTTATCCCCGTGTCCCTCTGTCCTTCTTATCCTGTCAACCATCTTCCTCATCCTGAATCATAAAATTCCTCTTTATCTTGTAAGCAACCATCTCCCTCATCCTGTGTCATAAAATTCTTTCTTAATCTTCAACCACTATAAAACCCTAAAACTACATCATCATCCTGAACATCTACAGGCTTTCTTTCTATATAAGCCTGTTCTCCAAATATCAGGACCTTTTTTTCACTCAGCCCCATGGCTACAGGAAAAAGGTTTGTGTGTAGCTTTTACGTAATAAAGCTCCCATTGGTTAAGAGAAAGTCATCTAAGTGAATTCTTTCATACCTGAACTGCTCTCCCAAATAACAGTCAGGTTAGACCAGGTCCCAGCCCTTCAAAGGGAATGGCAGACAAGTAGAAAGACCAGGCTAAAATGAATGATGAATCCTTAAGTGAAACACTGAGTACTAAAACTTCTTTACCAACTCCAATGTGCATCCTTAACCAAGTTTAATCAAGAGTTGTGTATTTAAAAGTGGCTTGGGATACTTTTATTCTTTCACAAGAAGCTCTGGTTCATTTTGTTCTCCTACTCTGAAACAATGTAAACTTGCTGGACCTTAAGTGTGCTGTGACATAACTTGAATCAAAACAAAAGGAGTAATGAGTAACTACCCAGCCTTATAACCGATGCCTTTTCCAGTGGCCCTTCTATCTGCCTGCTAACCCATCTCCTAAGTATGAGACCCACACCTCAGTACAGAAACCCCTATTCCATTACTAAGTAATAACTGTATAAATTGTTTTATGTGGTTTTAAGTTCATAAAACTGTAGAAGCAAGTTGAGATCTAGATTCAAAGTCACAACACTTAGGAATAATAAAGGAAGCAAGCCTCTCTCTGCTTTTTTGTCATATTTAATAAACTCTCTTGGAAGCAGTGAGTACTACTCAGGCAGTAATATAGTCATTTATGTGCCCCCAAACAAGACTTGAACATTGTGTTCCATACGTTTTAGTATCCAACTGGAAACACACCATATTAGAGCCTTCACAAAGTAAATCCACCTATGCTATGGAAAAAAAAAGTTTTCTGATATTCAAAGTATGTTCAAGTATAAAATCGGCACTAGTCTTACTTCAATGTAGTCCCAGGAGGTAACTGCAGGTTCTCTAAAAGAATGGTGTAACTCACATAGAAAAAGATCCCTGCAAGGCTTACGCGGCCTTAGAAAACCACAAATTAACATTATCTATGTTGTATCACGTCTTTATTTTATTAAACACTCGCCAATTGCATTTTAACTTGGTTCTGGGCCTTTTCAAATGTCTGAGTTTGACACCTCTGCTCTAAGACTGTCGATGACGTTTAAGTTTTGACAGTTACTATCAGGCTGGAAAGTCTTGAAACTTGTCTGGACTAACAAAGCTTGGAGAGTCGGCAACCTGGGCATGCATGGGGTAGGGGGGTGGGCGCAGAATCACCACAACTTCTGAAGACCATCCCCTAAAGGTACTTCTTACAGGGGCTGGGTGGGATCTGTATCTGTAGCCAATCCCACACACCAGGGCTTGATTTATTGTTTCGTTGATTCACTAGACTTAAGAAACTGATAGAGAAAATGTTCACGATGCAGATTCCACTTTAAAGCGCGTCCGGTGTACAATTTCACATTGACTAGGGTGCTCCTGCCTTCCACCTAACTCCTGGTGTAAACTTGGCAAACCAACTTAAGCAGGCCTCCTTGTCTTCCCATTTGTCACTGGAGAGGTTAAACCTGGGATTACCTTCAACGTCTCTCCTAGCCCCTTCCTCTCCTTCCCACACTTTCCACCTAGTTCACTCGCGTCTACCCCCCAACCCCGAGCTCAATTAGTCGCAGGAGCCCAGGCAGGGCACCATCCTCCACGATCTCCTTCCCCGGCCTCCCCCGCTTTCCCCTTCCCCCTCCTCCCCAACATTTTGGATCGGTCTCCATAGAAACAGCGCGGGCGGAGGGACCGGCTCCTCGAGGGCGCGCGCGCGCGCGCGCGCTGGAAGGTGGTCGGGCTCGCTCCCGCCTTCTCTCCCTCCTTCCCTTCCGCGCGGACGGGCACGCGGGTTCCCGTCCCGGCGCGTGCCGCGGCGGCTCCCCCGCAGGGCCCGTTGCGGGCTCCATCCCGAGGTCCCGGGCCGCTCGCGAGGCGACATGCTGAGGCGGAGCCTGGAAAGCCGGTAACAATCACCCCGGGAGCCGGGGGAGCCCCTGCCTGGGCTGGGTAGCGGGCTGGGGGTGGGAGGGAGGTCGTGGAGGGGAGGCCCGGTAGATCCCTCCTTCTCCCTTCCCTCAGTTTTTCTCTCCCTCCTCCTTTCTTGGCTACCCCTCTTATCTTCCTCCGTCTTTCCTTCCTCCCTCCGTCTTTCCTTCCTCCCTCCCTCCCTTCCTTCCCCGGAAGGGGTCCTTGTGGGCCCACTCGGAGACCCCGGCCCCGCCAGGCTCTGGCCGGCGGGTCTTGTCCAGCCCCTGCGGGAGGTCCTGAGGCCTACGGGCGGGCTCCAGCCGGGGGGGAAAGGAGAGTTACCTTATTGTGAGTGAGGGCAAAAGGAGGGGCACCGGCGAGGCCTCGTGCGTGTGTGTGTGTGTGCGCGCGTGCGTCGCCGCCCTCTCCAGGGACGCCCAGACCAGACAGCTGCAGGATGCGGTCTCCAACGTGGAGAAGCACTTCGGGGAGCTGTGCCAGATCTTCGCGGCCTATGTGCGCAAGACGGCCCGGCTGCGGGACAAAGCCGACCTCCTGGTGAACGAAATCAACGCCTACGCCGCCACCGAGACGCCCAACCTGAAGCACGGCCTGAAGAACTTTGCTGATGAGTTTGCCAAACTTCAGGACTACAGGCAAGCCGAGGTAGGAGGGGAGCGGAGAGCCTCGCTGGGATTTGTGCCTGCCCTGTAAAGGGCGAGGGAGGTTGGGCTTCTTTTTTTTATTATTACTACATTGATGATAACAAAAAATATTTAGGGTAGCAACATTGTACAATAGTAGGTAACCACTCTGGAAAAGATGACGGTTGGGTGAAGTGGAAAGAGCCTGGTCTTTCCAATAAATTAGGTTCGATAAATATTTATTAAGCACTTACTATGTGCCAGGCTCTGTGCTAAGGAAGCTGGGGGGTGCGTAATAGGAGAGAGCATCCTGTTCCTTGGGATTGAAACCAGGAAGAACAGCAAATGCAAAGTGGAGTCCAGTTTCTGCGCTCTATAAAAGAAGGTTTGGGGAGGAGTACTCCACCCTTCAGCCCTCCAATCAGAGGGGAGAGGAGGCTTGAGTTAGCAACAAGGTGGTGAGAGTAAAGTGATAACCTTGTCCTGGGAGGGGCATCTTGTTCGCTTGAAACTCGCCAGGGCTGCAGGTGGCAAAGTGGAATGAGCTGGTCTGGTACCTTAGGCAAATTACTTGCTTTCTGAGCCTCAGGTTGCATATAGTATTTTTTTTATAAGTAACCTAAGGCTCACGAGATTGTTCTCCATAGAACCCTGCCAATTGTAAATACTAGGTTGCTGTGCTGTGGCATGAAGTCCTAGATTTCCCCACTTTTCACATATTTTTGGCTGTAAGTGACTGAAGAAGAGAGGATGTGTATGTATATGTGTACAACTCTGATTGGGAATAAAGGGTGTATACAACTGAGTGCAGGGTAAGAGAGGCCATTCCCCTTGCTGTCTCTTCTGATCCCTCCCCAGCCTACCCTTCAGCTTGCCCCAGCAAATTTATAGATATGTGCCACCCTGAAGAAGGTTGGGGTATCTCAATTTATGTCATGGGTACCAGTAGACTTTGTAGTAATATATTGATTATTTTGATAGTATTTTTTCTTTGTAACAATGCAAAGAGCTTTTACTTGAATTATTTCATTTATATTTGTACTATTGTAAAGGTATTTAGAGGAGGGAAGGGTTAATTGGTCGCTCAGAATTGTGATTCCCAGACAATGTTGTCTTCACTAGAATACATTTTTCATTTGTAGATGCCTTCTTTTCTTGATCTATTACCATTCAGACATTTAAGTGCCTGTGCAGGGTGTGACTTCTCAGAGTTTGTATTCAGGTGATGAGTTATACTTACACAAATTACTATCTTACATGACTCCCTTTTGCACATTTTTTCCAGCAAAATTGGCCGCCTTTCATCCCCCCCACACACAACATTTTGTCTTCTCCATGCCTTTGCATAAACTGCTCCACTATCCTTCCAGTTTTCCAGCTTGACAACCTCAAAGTCTCTTCCAGTACTCTCCCTTGATCACTTATCAGTTTATATTCAAAATCTTGGAATTTCTTGCTCAGCAATTCACACATAGTTCCCTTCTTTCCACTCACAAAGCCACCACCCTGATTTAGGCACTAATCAACTCTTGCATGAACAGTTGCAGTAACCTTTCAGTTTGTCATCTTCAAGTCTTTCCTCTAATACATCACCTTTGGCACAGCTGCCAAATCGATTTTCCTAAATCATAGATCTGATCATATCTCCTATCTAATCACTAACCTCCAATAACTCCGTTACCTCCATGATTATATATGGAGTCTTTTGTTTTGCATTTAAAGTGCTTCACAACTGGTATTATCATCCCTTTCCAACCACATTCTCTTAAGATCCAGCACTACTGGTCTGCTAAGGCTCCTCAAATCCCATGTCTTTGCCTTCGTATTGGCTGGTCCCCGTGCCTGGAATGTTTCCCCCCCCAACTTCCCAATTCACAGAATTCCTGGTGTCCTTTAAGACTCAACTCAAGTGGCACGTAAGGGGCAGATAGGAAAGTCCAGTGGATAGAGCACTGGGCCTGGAGTTAGGAAGACCTGAATTCACATCTGGCTTCAGACACTTACTAGCTGTGTGGGCAAGTCACTTAGCCACATTTGCCTTAGTTTCCTTACCTAGAAAATGAGCCGGAGAAGGAAATGGCAAACTACTCCAGTATCTTTGCCAAGAAAACCCCAAATGAGGTCACAAAGAGTGAGATACAACTGAACAGCAAGTGGCACCTAAGGTTACCTTCCTTCCTTCTGTATTTATTGCATATGTTCCGGTTTATAGATATGGCCTCCACCAATACTATGTAAATTTTTTGAGGGCAGGGACTTTTCTTTCGTTTTTTCTTTTATCTCTCTCACTAAGCACATGGCCTGACACATAGTAAGCACTAAATAAAGGCTTGTTGATTGATGCATTTATTATCTTATTTGGGATGTCAATCAGTAAACATTTTTTTAAGCCCCTCTTATGTGCCAGGCGCTGTACTAAGTTATGGGGATACAAAGAAAGGTAAAAGATAGGCCTAGCCCTTAAAAAGCTCATGGTCTAATAAGGGAGACAGCTTGCAAATAAATATATACAAATAAGCTGTACACAGGATAAATTGGAAATAATCAATAGAGGAAAGGTACTATTATTGAGAAAGACCAAAAAGACTTTTTTATAAAGGTGGGATTTTAGCTGAGACTTTAAGGAGGCTAGAGAAGTCAAGAAACAAAGATGTGGAGAGACAGCATTCCATGTATAGAGAACAAACAGCTAAAGAAAATGCCCAGAACCCGGAGAATGGAGTGTCTTGGAAGCCAGTGAATTTATTTGAATTGTACATATAATTTATAAGATTTAAAAATATTTCTGGTAATTGCCCTTAGGATTTATCTAGAAAAACATTATGTTAAAAATCAGATTGATTCTTTTTTTAAAAAAAAAAACTGACTTATCTAGTGATTGTACACGGATAAAATTAGCAATAGATTTAATTTTTAAAGTATTTTATTCCTATATTTTGTTTCAGTTATACTTTATAATCTTTGCCAATAGGTTGAAAGACTTGAAGCCAAAGTAGTTGAACCTTTGAAAACTTATGGAACTATTGTGAAAATGAAACGGGTAAGTGCATGGATTTCTACCCTCTGTTACTAGCTGATCTGGCGAGGGTTATTCATATACATGTGCCAATGTCATTTTATAAAAAGCACATATATATATATAAAGTGGAGTGAGGGGTCAGGTTATCTTTTTTAATAGATTTTGGAAGATGATTGCCTGTAACTAAATGAAATTAGATGAAAAGGTTGTTTTTGAAAAATATTTTCAAAATTATAAAACTATGCAAATGTAAGACATTCTAATTTTACTTGTATTCTATGCAGGGTATTCCAAAAGTCTTAGTACAGTTTTAAGTAGTTAAAGCTATTAAAACCACACTTAGATTTTTGGAAGACCTTTTATGTACAGGTTAGGCATAAAAATAGAGGGAGTAAAATTATTTTTAAACTATGTAATTGCATCTTCCTCCACTAAAGCCCTGCTTGCTGTAGTGAGGTGACTCCATGTTCTTGAAGGCAGTTCCAGGAGAGCACAGATTCTGGCAGGTCCTACCAACTTGAAAAGGCTTTGCTTGGCCTCAGCAGCGGACTTTGTGCCTTTTGTTTGAGGTCTGTGGGATCTTAGAGATAGAATCTGTTCCAACCCTCATGTTTTACCAGTGAGGTAACTGAGAACCAGGAAGTGTTAAGTGGCTTCTGAGATCACATAGGTGGCAAACCCAGAATTCTGACTTCATTACAGCAGCAGAGCTAAGGATAGAAAGGGTCACGACCAGAGAGTTAGTATACAGGTCAGGGCAGAAGGTCTTTCTGCATGGGTGATAGTAAGATTCTGAAGGTATTACGGAAATAGCATTATTTTTGTAAAGTGAAGAAGAGCCTTGTGGACCTGTACATGTGCAAAGTGTGCAAGTTCTTTTAGTAAAAGTATTCATATTAAGCAGGGGACTTTTTCCTATTGTTGTAGCTCCGAGTTAATGGGTAAATAAAGCAGTAACTTACCAGAAAGTAAATATGTCTACAGGAGGATCTCAAAGCAACCCTAACAGCAAAGAATCGAGAGGCTAAGCAGTTAACTCAACTAGAAAGGACACGTCAGCGGAATCCATCAGATCGGCATGTTATAGTATCCTTTAAATTTTGAAGAAAAAAAATTTTTAATTTATTTGATAAAAAGGTAATGTCCTTTGAAAAACTGACGTTTTATTTTTTACATTTACTAAAAACATATAGTGTGGTCAGAGAATTTAGAGTTCCTACTTTAAAAGGATTTTAGGTTTTCTTTTCCAACTTTAGAAATTATTCATTGTAAAAATAATACTTTAATTGATTCCCCTAAACAGTTCTCTCCAGGATTTCTAGCAAATACACTAATGTACATCTTTTTGTATGGTGACAATATAAAAAACAACAGGATTTCCATGAGCCAAGAGGATTTGATGGCCAGAAATATAAAAATGGTTTGTAGGACTCCAGTTGTACGTGAATTGGCTGAAGTCAGTCAAAGCACATTCTCATAATTTTTCCTTATGTTTATTTTTTGGGAAGAAAATAAGTTTTCCTAACATAACCCTCAGTCCCAAACACACTTTTTTTAAAAAATCAGCTTCGAAACAACCACCTGTTCTACGAATAACCAAAGTTCCTTGAGAGATTTAAGAATTATTTTAAAGATTCATTCCCATAGTGAAAAATAAAATGATCAAGATAGGAATTCTAGAACAAAACTGAAAGTTTTCCCATTTAACTGTCTTCCTCTTGAATGTGCTTCATTATTGACAATTTTACATTGAACAGAAAATAGTCTCAGGCTACTTGCTGCTTACCTGTAGAGAAGAAAAGAATAGCTCCAGAGTTATCAATACCATACCTCTCTCTTTTTTCCTCATCTAGTTTTTATCTCACTCCCTTTTTTAAGAGTTTTTATTTTTTGTTTTTACATCACCTATATTTCTCACTATAGCACTCCATCCTTCCCCTCCCATGTAATAAAGAATAAAGAGGAGGAAAAACAGTTCAGAAAGGCTAAAAAAGCACATCAAAAAAATTTAACCTTATATGTAGTATTCCACACCCATAATCCCCTACCTCTGCAAAGAATAAGGAAAAGTATCTTCTAATATCTCCACTTTGGGGCCTGATTTGGTCATTATAATTTTAAAGCATTCAGTTTTGATAGTTTTGTTGTTGTTCTTTCTGTTTACATGGCAGTAGTCATATGCTTTCCTGATTTTCTTTCACTTAGCATCAGTTCATAGGTCTTTCCATTCTTCACATACAGTCTTTGTAATATCTTTTATATTCTTTAAGCATTCAGTTCTGCTTTCACCTCTCCACCGCATTATCTTGTCTACTACTTTACTAAAAATACTGAGACCATCATTCCTCGTCAAATATTCCAAACCCCACTATACCTTCTCTCTTCCTCTTTCATCTAAAGAGATGGAGATTATTATTCTTGCCAAAGCTAATACGTTCATCTATTTCCTTTATCTCAATTATGCTGGCTTCTGTGGCCTTGAACGAACTCTACTTATCAACCCTATTTTTACTTTCATCTTAAATTTCTCCTGTACCAGTTACTCCTTTCACTGTCCTGGTTACACTGCCCTGGATGTTTTCTAGGATATCTACAGTCTTTCCAGAATATCATCTATAGAAGTGAATGAGGCATTGATATGGTCTGATGAGGGCAGAGCATGGTAGAACTCTCACTTCCTTGCCCATGCTATACCTGTCTTGATACAGCCTGAAATTACATTTGGTTTTTTGGTTGCCATATCACACTGTGCTGGAGGTCTAAAGGACAGAACATCAGCAACTACTGACTCATGTGCCTGTTTTAACCATCTATATAAAATTTGAGCCTGCATGTATCAATGCAGTCTTCAATGAAGGTATCAATAGGACATAAGCAGACTTTCACAAGTAATATTTCATATATTTCATCATACATCTCTGTCACACAATTGACTGAAAGATGTAGCAGATGTAAGATCCCAGTGTGCTTATTGTTTGTTGATTATAAAAAGCATGTGATTTTGTAGAAAATAATGATACCTTAAAGGCTGTCTTCTAACAAGTAACACTCTTGTCCATATATCAAAATTATGTAACAGAGACAGCTTTGAAAGATAGAACAACAGAGACAACCTTGTTCATTGACCCACTCTGATCACAAAAATCTTGTGAAGCATTAAACAAGACACTCAAATTCCCAAGGCATTTGCTACTGTGATGAGGGGGATGAAACAGAGTCCAAATTGAGGTGGGATTATGTATGAATGGTGAGGTCTTCCAAGGACTCTTGTTTGCAGGTGTTGTAAGCTTGTTGAATCAAGCCACAGAACATTAGAGAATCTCCTGGAAAAGATTTATAATCACCAAACATATGGCCTAATCATACACATGGGGAAAAAAAAACAAGTGGATGAAGAATGCATGTAACAACAACAACAATAATAATAATAGTTAACATTTATGTAGCACTTACTATATGCCAGGCATTATGCTAAGCACTCTGCAATTATTTCTCATTTGATCCTCACAACAATCATAGGGGTAGGTACTATTACTGTCCCCATTTAACAGATGAGGAAAGTACTAAGTGTCTGAAGCTGGATTTGAACTTAGATATGAATCCGGGTCTAGTGCTTTATCCACTTGCCATCTAGTTACCAACATGCAGTTGGAAGGAAAACCTGTAGAGCACACAAACATACACATATGTGTGTGCCAAGGTACAAATAGACAGCCAGTTGAATCCAAACTTGGGAGGGGAGAGCAGGCTGGATTGTCTTCAGGAAATTGCTAAGCACTTTTAATTGACTCCAGCTTTCTGCAGGTCCATCTTTGTAATAGCAGTATTCTCCCAGTGTTGTTTTTGCTACAAATACAGAACATGACAGACTGCAACAGAAAACAAATAAGAACCTTCAAAGAAAAATAGGAATAAAAGTCATGAATTCTCATATGGCAAGATTGAGGGATAACAGTTCAAGCGGACAATTCAAGAGCTCCATTGTTATTCATATGATTTCAGAAGAAATCATAGAAGTTGGATGGACCTCCAAGGCATACTTATGGAAAGATATGAACAAGAGGCACAAAGAACGGGCATGTACCTATGCTTTGTGACCTGCATCATTGGAGCAAACACCCAAATTGATGATACCATTTGAAGATTAGTGTCAGTGTCAACTTAACATGGAGCTTGCTGTCTACTAAAACCCTGTTATTTTTCCCACATATAGCCATACCTCTACCACCATGTACTTGTAAAATTGATTTATTGAACCAAGTGGAAGATTACATTTTCCCTGGAAAGTTCCATAAACTTTCTGCATTCTGATTCTCTAATCCAATTTATTAGCTATTCCTGCTAGCTTTGTTTCATCTCAAAACTCAATAAGCATCCCATCTTTACTTTTGTCAACATTTTTGACAGAAATGTTAACAGCATAAGGTTAAGCACAGATCCGTAGGGAAGTCCTCTAGAGGCCTTCTTCCAAGTTGATGTTGAACCCTCATAGACTAACCTTTGAGTCCCTCCATTCATCCAGTTTCAGTTCAGTTTAATTGTTGGAGAAACTTTGTTCTAGTCCACATTTCTCAATCTTTTCTACAAAAATAGTATGAGCATTTTATCAAATATTTTCCTAAAATCCAGGTTAACTGTAACTATAGCATTCTCCTTAAGTCAACAAAAAGCATACACTACATGGTAAGCACTGCTAAGTTCTGGGGTGTAGTGAAAAGTACCAGACTTGGAGTCAGGAAAACTTGAGTTCAAATCTAGCCTCAGATACTTGCTAGCTTAGTGACCCTGGTCACTTCTGTTTTCTCAGTTTCCAAATCTATAAAATGGGGGTAATAATAGCATCTACTTCCCAGGGTTGTTGTGAAGATAAAGTTATATTTATAAAGTGTTTGGCAAATTTTAAAGCATTATATACGTTATGGGGGTGGTGATGATACAAATTAAGTCAAAAACAGTCTATTGTCAGAAAATGAAATTAATTTAGTGTGGTATGACCTATTCATGCAATCATACTATAATCATTGCTTCCTTTTCTAGTTGTTCACTTAATCAGCCATCTAGTGTAACAGATTCTAGAATTGTGGTAGAAATCTAAATTAAGCCCATTGGTTTATAATTTGTAAACTGTTCTGTTCCCTTTGTCTCTTCAGGTGATCCTCAAATCTATATTTTCTGCATAGATTTCTCCCCTAAATTCCAATCACAAACTTCCAATTCCCCTTTTGATACCTCCACCTAGATGTTCTTCCAGCTTCTCGAACTCAACATATCCAAAACTGAACTCATAAATTTCACACCTGGAAAAGAACTCGGAAGTTATTAAGTCCAACTTATATTTGATTAAGAATCCACTCTATAAGATTGAGAGAAAAATATTCTCTCTTTTCTTTTTAAGCCAGGACTACCTTTGCCTTTTTCTTGGGGTAACTCTCCTGTTTTTCACAATTTTTGAAAATCGTCGAAGAAGGCTTTATCAGTCCTATCTGCCAGTTCAGCATACTGGGATGTAGTTAATCTAGTCCTAGTGACTTGAATTTATCAAAAACACTTAGGTATGTTCTTAGAGTCTCCCTGCCTGTATTGAACAGAATCATTTGTATTCTGTGCTTTCCAGTACAAAATTCATTTTCTTTGGCAGAGAAAATGAAAGCAAAGTAAGATTCAGATTGCCTCAACCTCTCTTTGTCATCTCTTGCCTTTGGCAATCAGTCCACTATAAGTAGGGGTCTAATCTAGGGGTGTTAATCAATACTGATTTAAGTGCCTACTATATGCCAGACACTATGCTAAGCATTGTGGAAACAGAAAGGCAGAAGATAGTCCCTGCCATCGAGAAGCTCACAGTTTAATGGGGGAGAAAACAAGGAACAAATATGTGCAAACAAGCCACATACAGAACCTATAAGGAATACTTAAGAGAGGGAAGACACCAGAATTAAGAGGTTTCAGGAGGCTTCTTGTAGAAGGTAGGATTTTAGTTGGGATTTAAAAGAATCCAGGGAAGCCAGGAGGCAGAGATTAAAAAAGCATCCCAGGCACAGGGGAGGACCAGAGAAAATGTCCAGAGTCAAGAGATAGTTCTTGTTCAAAGAACAGCAAGGACATTAGTGTCACTGGATTGAAGTGTACATGGCAGAGAGTAAGGTGTAAGAAGTTTGGAAAGGTAGAAGAGGGCTGAGTTATGAATTGCTTGGAATTTCAAACAATTTTATTTGATCCTGGAAGTAATAGGGAGCTACTGGAGTTTATTGCATGGGGGGTGGGTCATGCTGGGACTATGCTTTTTCAGTTTAATAGTTAAATGGAGGATGAACTGAAGTGGAAAGAGACTTGAGGCAGGCAGACCCACTGACTGGTTATTGCAGTAGTCCAAAGATGAGATGATGAGGGCCTGTACCAGAGGAATGGCAGTGTCAGAGGAAAGGAGGAGGCATGTTCAAGAGATGCCAAATGTGACATCAACAGGCCTTGGTAACAGATTGGATGCATATGAGGAGTGTGAGAGTAAAGAGTAAGGGTAACACCTAGGTTGTGAGCGTGAGAGAGTGGGGGGTGGGGGGAGTGGGAGAGAGAGAAAGAGTTTTGTTAAGATATCTACCGGACATCCAGTTCAAGGTGTCTAAAAGAAAGTTGGAAGTAAGAGATTGGAGGTCATCAGAAAGTTTTAGGGTGGATAGGTAGATTTGAAAATCATCATAGAGATGGTAATTACATCCATAGAAGTGATGAGATCACCAAGTGAAATAATACTGAGGTGATGAGAAGGGGGTTCAGGACAAAACTCTGAGAGACACTGCCTGTTAGAGGGTATAATTTGGATGAGGACCTAACAGGAAATGGTTGGATAAATAGGAGGGAACCAGGAGCATATCTCCCAAAAATCTAGAAGAGAGTATCAAGGAGGAGAGGGTAATCAGTTGTTAAAGACTGCAAAGGTCAAGAAGAATGAGGACTGAGAAAATGCCATTGGATTTGGTAACTTTAGAGAGAGCAATTTGGTGTAATGCTGAGGTCAGAATCTCTAAGAGGTTAACAAGAGTGAAAGAAAAGGAAGTGGAGGCACCTACAGCCTTTTAGAGGAGTTTAGCTACAAAAAGCAGAAGAAGCATGGGGCCGTAGTTAGTGGGGGATGGAAGGATCAACTGAGGGATTTTTATTCAGGATAAGGGAGACAACAACATGTTTGTAGGAGGTGAGAAATGAGCCAGTAGAGAGGGAGAGATTAAAAATAAGCAATAGAGTAGTGATAACAGAGGTGCCAATCTTTTATCAGAAACGGGATGGAATGGGATCTCTTGAACAAGTAAAAGGGTTATCCTTGATAAGGAGCAAGGCCACTTCATCATGTGAGTTAGTGGTAAAGGCGGAGAACATGGCAGAAGGCATTGAAGTGGCCTTGATGAAGAAGAGGAAACTCATGATGAGCTAGTAAATGTTTAACAACTAGCTCTCTAGAAAAAAATAATGTACGGCACACTGCATTATTAACATTTTCTCCATCTCTTAAATTTAGACAGTCAAAAAACCAATAAATCAAGATCTGATTTGTAGCATTTGCAAATTTCTAAGGCGTGAATGCACACATTGAAAATTTAGTAATTAACAAGTCGGTTCAAGCTGGCTCCAGCACAACCTTGGAGTCATCCCTTCATTGATACTCCCTTTTTTCCCCAAAAGAGCTGAAAAAGTAAATGTAGTCCTTAGCATTCTTCACCAGCCTTTACCTCTTTCTGAGCTTTAACACTTCTGATACTATTTTTACCACGCTTCTGTTTCATCCTTCATTACCTGTTCTGGCTTCTATATTCTCTAGATTTCAATTTTAAGTTTGAATTTCTCAGTAAGTTCCTTGTACATTCATATTGGTTTCTTTGGACAGTTCTTCCTTTTCTTTTTCATTGGAATTGTATCTTTAATAAATTGGTTCAGTTTTTTGTATTTTTGTTTTTTAATTCCTGAAAGAATTATAGAATTTTATAACTTATAGATATAATAATATAACATATATTATATAGGATATTATAAATTATAGATATGTAAAATAATATTTATAACTTGTGGAATTTTAAGCCATGGGATCTTATCTATCCTTTCTCAGTGAAACCTTTTAAAAATCTGCTATTCCCAAATCTTGGATATATGTCATATATGCCTGGATTTTCTTGTCTCTCTAACAGATTGTAAGATGGTATGATTATTTCCCCCATGCCAGTGTTTTCATTGTTTTCAACCCAGTAACTGCTCTATATTTATTGGTAAGAATCAGGGTCAAAACAGAATTACCCCTCTTTGGTTCTTCTAGTTTTTGAAGATTAAACTTATTTTTAAAGGAGTACAGAAATGTGTTATTTGATCTGTTTTGGGCAGTGAACACTTCTAATAGATAACTGAGTAATTGAAATTCTCCATCTTGCCTCCGTAGTAAAATTCCTCTGTTTCTACCTCCTGTCCAAATTGTCCATAGTATCCTCTTATAACGATATTACCTCTGTTGATCCTTACACAAATGTTCTACATTGTACTTTCCACTCTAGTAGCTAGATTTTATCACAAGTGTTTATACTTAATATAAACTGCTATTCCACCTTATCCTCTCCTGTCTATGTTTCAGTTTCTCCTCAAGTCTCAGTAACATTCATGACATCAATTTACTTCCTTGTGTTTGAAATGTTCTCTGTGGTTATATTTAAAAGAAACTCAGGCTTTTAACAGAGAAGAATGTTTTTATTAATTGATTCTAATAAAAACTTATGTTTTTATAGGGGAAGGGGTTAGTATCCATGTCACTTAATTTTGAATGATCACTGTAAGCTGTTGGAATGTCTCTGAATTATCTATAATTAAGATTGCATAGCTTTAATTTGAAAATATTGTTATATTACCTTTGAGAATTTTTTTTTTTCCTTTATAGACAATTTCAGTCACAGGTGGGTAATTGCATGGTGCTTCTCAAGATGGATCATTAGAGTAAATCCTTTCTGAGTTTTATCACAAATACATTTAATTCTAAAATCACTGTAGACACCACAATTTGAGGCAGAGGTGGAATAGTGGATAGCATGCTGGACTTGAAATAAAAATACTCTAGTTTAAATTGTGCCTCAATCACTTACAAGCTATATGACTCTGGGCAAATAATTTAACTCCTCCCAGCCTCAGTTTCCTCATCTGTAAAACGATGATAATAATAGCATCTGTTTCACATGGTTGTTGTGAGGATCAAATGAAACGATATATTTATAGTTCTTTGCAAACTTTAAAGTGCTTTATAAAAGTTAGTGTGATATAGCAGCTAGAGTGTTATCCTCCAAATCCCACTTATCAATGTGTTAGGCAGCTCTCTAAGACTCTGAGTTGCAGAGAAGATACCAATCAGCATTAATAGAAGGAATTTCCTTCTAATGAAATCACTGGTCCAGTCTCTGTCCTCAGCATTATTATAATCATTGTCATCCTCATTATCACAAAATCTCAGCATAGGATGGGAATTCAGAGACATCTACTCCAACCCATCCTGAACAGGTATCTGATGTCTTCCACAACATCCCTGATAAGCAGTCATGTTCAACCTTATCCTGAAGACCTCACCACTACCTTAAAAAGCAGCCCAGTCAATTTTTGCACAACTCTAATTGTCAGAAATTTTTTTCTTAAAATTTCATGTTTTAATTTGCCTTAACAGCTTCCACCTCTTCCTTCTAACTCTGTACTCCTAGTGCCAGTCAGAACAAGCAAAATGCCAGTTCTGCATGCTAACCCTTCTACCCACAGTTCCTGGCTCTGTATTTTTGTGCTAAACAAAAAAAATCTAATATTTCTTCTACTTGATGGCCCTTAAGCTATGTCTCTCTTTAGTATTCTTTTCTCCATGCTAAACATTTTTTTTTCTTAAATCCATCTTCATATGGTAACTTGAGGTCCTTTACTATATTGCTTTGGTTCTGGATGTTCTCTAATTTGTAAACGTGCTTTCTAAAATGTAGCACTCAGAACTGAATATGGTACTATAGAAAATGTCTGAGTAGGGCAGAGTGCAGTTGAGCTACCATTTCTATTGTAGACCTGGCCTGACTGAGGCCAGTTTGGTAATTGAGGTTCAAGATTGGAATGAAATGAGACATCTGTGGGCCATTTAACAATTAACAAAAAAGAGATCTACTTAGCTGTAACATGAAAGAGATAATCTACAAGAATACAGCTTTGGCTCAATGGTAGGTGCAGCTTACCTCCATACAAAAACCTGTCTGGTCAGCAGGGTGACTCCCGTGGTTAATGGTACATCCTCCAGGTGTGAAGGACACAGACTTCTTTGAGGTTGGCCCATTTTATGCCTTTAGGTGACCAGCCCTGGACCAATCAAGTTTCACCCTTGGCTTCCTTGCCTTTTAAGAAAATAACTAGTTTGGCCCACATGGCAGGGACGAGGTAGACTATTCCTGTCACAACTTTCCTAGTCCTTTACCTTTCTTAACACTTTCTGAGATTTCCTTAGCTTTCTTGCCTGCCATATAACACGACTTCTATTCAGTTTTCAATCTCATTAAAAATACTATATCTTTTCCAGACAAACTGCTATCAAGCCAAGGCTCTCCCATCTTTTGTAAAGTTTATTTTTTAACCTAACTGTACATTTTATATCTGTGAAATTTCATTTTAGTATATTTGGCCCAATGTTCTAGCCTGTCCTTTTGAATCCTGTATTCAGTGTATTAATTATCCTACCTATAATCTTTCTAAAATCCTTGAAATATGTTTTCCCAAAATCTGGAACTCAATTCACATTATGCCTAGCTCTTCCTTCCTCAGTGGCTCAAAAGGTCATGTCACATATAAAGAATATATACTAAGAAGAATAGCAGTAGAAGGGCACAGAAATATATAGAAAACACAAGATGTCTGTACACAAATGCACACAGCATGGGGTGAACTAAAGAATCAAATGCAAGGAACCTTATTTGACATCTTTGTCTTTGAGACACTGGAAATACAATTAGAATATGGCTCAGAAAGGTTATATCGCACATTAAGAACATGCACTAACCAGGAACCGCATGTGTTCTCTGAGGCGGATGGATGAAGATTGCCATAGAAATAGAAGCATTATTGTTGGCAGAATGTAACTCAGCAGAAAAAGAAAGATGATAAATGCAGGGTGAAGAAGCCTTGCAGCATAGAGACATAATAAAGTAGCACTGGAAGAGTTTTCATTTATCCAGTTATCTGCTTGAGCTCTGTCTGTGCCAAAAGCAAAGCAGATAATAATTGATCAACAAACCTTAATAGTAATTTACTTCATCCTTCAAGATGGGGAGGAACTAATGGGGAAACTCATTCGGTAATTCATTTCTTACCAGCGAGGAAAAACTAGTTGTTGGAGTGGAAATAATAAGAATCATGGGGAAGAGGAGCAAGAGATGACCACTCTAAGACTTGCACTCTTAGTTTTTTAGAAGGCATTTCAGAAAAGTCAAAGAATGGCGTGGACTGAAATCCTAGAGGGGAAGCCAACTCTGAAAATATGGAAAGTTCTCAAAATTAAATACGAAAGACATAGCAAGGAAAAATTCTGATGATAAAAAGAGGTATTATATAGAGACCTATGTGAATACACAGGGAACTTAGTGATGAACTTGGATTTGTGGGAAATGTTCACATCAAAGGATGTGAACAAGCAGTTTTCAAAAGAAATCTAAGTGATCAAAAAAATATGAAAAAAATGCTCCAAATCACTATTAATTAGAGAAATATAAACTAAAACACCTCTAAAGTACCACCTCACACATCAGAATGACAAAGATGACCCAAAAAAACCCCAAAATGACCATTGTTGGAAAGGGTAAAAGAACATAGGCACATGGGTATCCCATTGGTAGAGTGAGGAATTGGTCTAGTCATTCTGAAAAGCAGTTTTTTGAACTATGCCCCAAAAGTCACTGTACTCTTTAACTTTGACCCAGATATACCCCCAAAGGGAACAAAGAAAGAAGGAAAGGATCTTTATGTACAAAAATACTTATAGCAGCTCTTATTTATAACAGAGACATTTCTGTTCCCACCAACACCCTCTCAAGAGTCCCATTTTCACTTCCAACGACTAGTTTTTTCCTTGTTGGTAAGAACTAGGTACAGAATAACAATTTGCCTCAGTAGTTCCTCCACATTTTGAGAATCCTGGGGAATATGAACTAATGAAGGGTAAAGTAAATAGAAGCTCAAAACAATTTATACAAGTCAATAATGTCTTTTTTTAAAGCAACTTTGAAAGACATGAGAACTCTGATTAATGCAAAAGCCAACCATGATTCCACAGAACCAGTGATGAAGCATACTACCCTACTTCTTGATGTAAAATGGAGCCAAGGTGCAAAATGAGCCATGTTTTTGGCAAATGTGTGGATTTGGTTTTGCTTGACTGCTCATTTTATGTAAGGATTGTGTTTTTCCTTTTTAAGGGGGTTAAGAGGGGAGGAAAGGGGAAGCCTATTGATAGAGCTGCCAAAAAAATGAGAAATAAAAATATCATTGAAGTATCTTAAAAAATGCACTTAAAGGAACAGAGGGAAGTTCAGGGAGAAACTCAAACAAGTAGAACAACTTGAAAGTAACATTGAATTTATTTTCTATGTGTATATTTATAAAATCAAGCTATACTTAATAGAGTCACTTTTATATATCTTTCTGTTCCACTTTGTCTAAAGAAATGGTCTTCTTTTTGGTGTTCAATTCAGAATAATTTTGTTTAAATGCCATGTAGAATATGGAAGACAGGGCAGGCAACGTAAGATGGATAAAATAGCATGTCAGACTATATAAGAATAGTTCAGGAGTATGAAAGCACGGGGATGAGCTGAGACTGGCAAGGACAAAAGGTCTTTTTTTTTTTTTAAGCTACACTGTGGAAAAGTGAAAGATCAAAGCAGGGGTAGCTATTGCTGAGGTAGATGGAACATTAATGAATGGCAAAAAGAAAGTTGTTAAATTCTTGATTCTTTTCCCTCAGCCAAGAAGAATGATCTCAATGCTGTCCAGAAATGAACAGAAATTATTCTAGATGTATATAATACTCACCAAGATAAAGGGGGAAGGGATGCTATAGTAACAAAGCACTTCATTGCTTTCTATGAGTTTGAGTCACCAGGCCAAATGAATTACATCCCATTGGATTGAAAGAACTGGCAGATGTGATTACAGAGCTGCTATCACAGGAGAATAGAGGTGCTGCAGGACTCGGGGAAATTCTGGGCATTTGAAAAACAGATGTGTGGAGTTTTTAAACTCTAGTGCAGTAAGCTTGACTTTGATTCCAGGAAAAACACCAAAATGGAACTCTAAAAATTCTAAAGGAATGGTTAGTGAGCATTAGAAGAAAGTAGTTATCAGAAACAGCAAGGCATACTTATGTAAATCTTTCCTTTTTTATTTTCATTTTTTTACATTACTAGGCTGCTAGAGAGAGGTATATTGTAATTTTTTTTCTTGGATTTTAGAAAAATAGTTGGTAAAATCTCATGGTATTCTTATGAAAAAAGGTAGGAAGCTGCAGACTATATTATCATTTCAGGTAGAATCAGAACAAGTTGAATGCTGACACTAAACAAGTAGTCATTGATGGTTTAGTATTATCTTGAAAGTGGTTTTTCAGGGGTCTTTGCTTGGCCTTGTTCCATTTAACATTTTTATTAATGACTTGAAGATAACAGTGATATGATTATCAAATGTATTTAAGTGACAAAGATAGGAAAGTTAGCTAGATGGCAGGATCCCAAAAGATCTTGTCATGCCAGGCTAAAACTGAGCTAAATCTAGTAAAACAAAACTTCATAGAGATAAATGTAAAATCTTAAATTTATATTTTTAAAAAAACATTTCACAAGTAAAAGCCAAGGGACGGATGACTTGATGACAGTTTGTCTGAAAAAGTCCAAAGGGTTTTTGTGAGCTACAAATTGAGTATGAGCCAGTTATGCGATAATGGTGTCCTAAAGAGCTAATGCATTCTCAGGCTGCGTTAAGAAAAGCAGGCTGCCTCAGGACTGGGAAGATGCCATACCGTATGATTCTTTGCTCAGTATCCATCTGTAGTATTTTGTTCAGTTCTGGGCCCCACATTTTAAGAAACATATTGACAAGCAGCAGACCATTTAAAAGAAAACAGTTGGGATGGTGAAGTACTTCAAATTCATGCTGTAATTGGAGACATTTAGCTTAGAGAAGAAGCCAAGGAGGACATGAGAGATGTTTTCAGCTATTTGAAAAATGGTCAAGTGGAAGAGGGATTAGATTTGTTCTGCTTAGACCCAAAGGAAGGAATTAAAAGCGATTGGAAAAAGTTACAAAAAGTCAGGTTTAGTCTTGATATAAAGAAAAACTTTTTTTTAATATTTAGAACTTTATAATTTCCTAAAGTTCTTTTTGAGCTGCCTCAGGAAGAAGTAGTTTCCCTCTCAAGACCATCAAGCCAAGACTAGCAGACTTCTTGTTGGCAATCTTGTAAACTTATCGTTCAGGTGTGAGTTAGACCAAGTAGCTTCTGAAGTCCCCTCCAGCTCTAGGATTCTCTGTTTTATTTTTTTGCCAGCCATTTGTCACTCAATGATTTCATCTTTACTGAATTCCATAGGATGCATATTCATTTTCCCAAGTGAAGAAGAGGGATTAGTGGTGCTCATGCTATTAAATACTTACGCCGTAGTTCTGACATAAGGATAGCCTTGTTATTTACATTTGTTTTACCTACAGTCCAATAATAAAAAACAAATTCTTCAGTAGCAGTGTATTACTATCCCAGTGTATGTTTCCTGGTAGGCTTAGAAAATCAATTCTGAGATTCTTTTTTATGTATTTTGTCAATATTTTTGTAGGCAGAAACTGAATTGCAGAGAGCTACAATGGATGCTACCAGAACGAGTCGGCATCTGGAGGAAACAATTGACAATTTTGAAAAGCAAAAAATAAAGGACATAAAGGTAAAAAAAAAATGCCCATAAGGCAGCACCTTATTGTGGAAAGAATGCAGATTTAGAGTTAGCTATCTTGGGTCATAATCCTGGTTTTGCCCCTTATTATCTCAGTGCTAATTGCTACCTTTGTAAGTCACTTCATTTCTTTGTGCTTTAGTTTACTCATTTGTAAAGTGAAGGGGTTGGAATATAGGACTTTAAGGACTCCTCCAAACCTGTCTGTGACCCTGTGATTGTTAAGGTTTAAAAAATGCGTTTTTTAGAAGCCTTATTTCTACTTTCTAGGGATGTTAGGCTATAAAGTCATAATTATGTGACTTTAAAATATATGCAACCTTTATACTTATAGAAAGGTTTATTCCTGGAAAAGAAACTGTGCATCAGAGCAGTATGTGTAATCTGCTTTTCCATAGAAATTATCATAAAAGGTTATGTTACTGACAAAGGTCCTGATGGCAAGTTTTTAATAGAAGTAAACAAATCTTTTTCAAGTATAGCTATCTCAATTAAACTGGACACAATAGCCAAACATATAAAATTGTATATATTATGATATGATGCTATACTTAGCTCTAATAAGCCTTCATACTTACTGTATATAGTATATCTAATAGACAGTAACACATCAGAAGAGCATAGAATTTAGAAGGGCCTCTTTGGAGACATTTTTACAGGTACTTTTGAGATAATTTGGGAGGAGTCATACAGGCATTTATGGTCTTTTGAGAAACTGATCCAGAAATGACTTTTCTTGCTTCATTTTCTCATTGTAAGTTTCTTTGTAACAAGCACAATCATTTTCTTTCTTGACTTGCCATTGAATGCTTGGCACATGGTAAGTGCTTCTTGATTAATGGATTAGCATTAACACTTAACCAAATCTGACATTTTCTAAAAGTAAATCTGCCTTTAAAATGAATGAAGCAACTCAGTTTTGTACTGAACTTTTAATATTTTAATCTCTCATTATGATGTAGCTTACCTTGTCAGAAGAAAGATTTATGCTTAAGAGATGGTCCCACTAGTAGTTCAAATTGTTCCGAATCAATAAAATGGAGCCTTTCTGTCTCAGCTAGGAGTCCTATACTTTGTCTTATGATGGCAAATTACAGTGGTCTCTAATATACCATCTCCCTCCCCCTTTTTATCATCTTTAAGAATTGAATAAAATGTGACTATGAAGTAATGAGGCTTATAGAATATATCTATGTAAAATATAATTATAATATGTAATATATAAATTACGTATGTAAATTTAAATAACTGTTGTCCTTTACAACAGCCCCTTTGGATGACCATTTGCTTATTCAGATGAAAATGCTGTTGCTCAAAATGTTTTGGGAATTTCTATTTTCGAAGTTACCACACAGGAAAATTATTCTCTCTCTCTCTTTTTTTTTTTTTTTTTTTTTTTGGTGAGGCAGTTGGGGTTAAGTGACTTGCCCAAGGTCACACAGCTAGTACGTGTCAAGTGTTTGGTCTGAGGCCGGATTTGAACTCAGGTCCTCCTGACTTCAGGGCCGGTGCTCTATCCACTGCGCGACCTAGCTGCCCCTCTCATTACTTTTTAGCCAAACACTTCTTCCTGCCTGTATTTCATTCTCTTTCCTGTTTCTCTTCCTATTTTTCCTTCCCTCCTCTCCTCTCCCCCCCCATTATATTTCCTTTATATACCTTATCTTTGTCTTCCTCCTCCCTTGTTGGAATAGGTTAGAGAGGTAGAGACATAGGGAGGGTCCTGAGACACAAGATTAAGGAGAGTCGCCTATCCCAGGGGTGGGGAACCTGAGGCCTCAAGGCCGCAAGTGGCTCTCTAGGTCCTCAAGTGCTGAATCCAAACTTCACAGAACAAATCCCCTTGATAAAAGGATTTGTTCTGTAAAACTTGAACTCAGTCAAAAGGCTGCACCCAAGGACCAAGAAGGCCACATGTGGCCTCGAGGCTGCAGGTTCCCCACCCCTGGTCTGTCCCGTAAAGTAGACTAACTAAAATAAATTGATATGTAGTACTTGCCTGACAGCTTTAAGTATAATAAATTAGCAGTTGGATGGAAGCTGTTTATCTGTTGGTTGGATAATCTGTTTTGCAGATTATTCAGAGGCCCCTGTTAGAGCCAGCCCAGCTCCTATGTAGCTCACCAAAAATAGCTCTCAACAGTGGTGGCAAGACAAAATAATTTTGTAGGGATTGGCTTCTGCTATTAGACTAGGAGAAGAGAACAGGGAGGAAGATTAATCCTAAAATAATTAGCTTTTACTTGAAGGACAGAACTGGGGACAGACACCTAAGTTAAGAAGTGGGAGTCTAGTTGCCTGACATGAACTAAGTTTAGAAGCTTCCTTTCTTCAGCTGCTAACCAATCATTCATAAGGTTTTTCATTGTTGTAAGAAGGAGAACTAAAAAATGGTGCTGAGGAGTTTTAAATATGAATATTAAAGTCTGCTTTCTCCTCCAGTAGAGGATCTGTGAACATCCCCACTATTTTATATCTGAGTTGAATGTGGTTATACATTTTTAGTAAAATAGCTCCATGTTATAACTTCTTGTTTTCTGGTTAAAAAAAAATTGCATTTTTAATCAGTTTTCTTAATTATAATTTCAAAACTCCTGCTTCTAAGTTTTGCCTTGTCTTTATGAACCCAAATACTGACAAGTAGTATAATCACCTGCAATGCTATTTTTTCTTTCAACTCCATATACGTAATTCTTTTCTCTTCCCCATCTCCATTGGTAGAAATAATTAAATGTCAGTTGAACATATGAGAAAAATAGTTTTCAAACTTAGAAGTCTTACTGCAGTTTTAAGCTTTAATAGCTTCAGAGACATAAGTTGCTACAAAATTACAAAAAAAAGTTTGAAAGTTAATTTAAATTTCTTTTAAACTTATTTAGCATTGTGAATTTTGAATACTAAATGTTTGGTTTTAATTTTAACAAGATAGGGCACTCAATCATTATGCCTTGCCCATGTAGAAAAGCTTCTGGGTGCCATTTTTTCAGACTGATAGATTGGTAGAGGAGGATCTCTTGCTTGGCCATCAGTCAGCTGATCTATCTCCATTAAACTTTTTTTTTTTTTGTGGAGTTACATTAGAACTTTTACATATGCATCAAAACCTCATTCTTGGATAATTTTAAGGTTAGGATTACAAATGCAGTCCTTTTGATTACTGAGTAGCAGTAGCTGATGAAAGTTTTTACAAAGTTCAAAAATCAACAAGAGTGGGAACATAAAAGGATGATTATGTTGAATTGTAATTATAAAAATCAAATATTTTTCCAATTTAATCTTCCAGATGGTTTTTTGTAAGTTTATAGTATTTATACTTCTTAAGTTATTGAAGCTTAAAACTGCACTGAGACTTTTGGGACACTCACATATTTGTGAAATATTAGATGGTTAGAAAACTCAAAGAATATTTCCTTTTCTTTAGGTTTTTGTTTGTTTGTTTGTTGCTTTTTTGGTGAGGCAGTCAGGGTGACTTGTCCAGGGTCACACAGCTAGTACGTGTCAAGTGTCTGAGGCCAGATTTGATTTCAGGTCCTCCTGACTCCAAGGTTGGAATTATATCAACTGTGCCACCTAGCTGCCCCCTTCTCTTCTTTTAAAAGAAAAAATAGTACCATAGATTATAACTTGCATGATTGTTATTTTGTTACTCCTTAAATTAGTCAGTAGATTAGGAACCTATCAATTGATTAGCTTTAGCCTTAGCCTAACAGATCTTTTATGATGGTTGTTGCTACAAGGGCCCCATCTAGGGTGTGCAAGGATTCCCAGATGAGAGGTAGGGACCTTGTTCCACTGAAGAATTTTATTAACTTTGAACTCTCCTATCTCTATTCAGAACATAACCAGAATGATCTCAAGGTTTCAGGCAAATGAAAATTTGAGAATCACTATTACTATAAGACCTTGGCAATCTTCCACTTGTCTACATTATATTAAAGTTGATTTACACATTCTTGATGATATTGGGAGTAGGGAAACACTATTGCTTTTTCACTCAGCTGTAATTCAGATTTGATAAATTTAGCTTTCTGTAGCTTCCACAGAAGACTTAGTCCAATGTATAACTGTGGCATGGAAATAGCTTCATATTTGAAAAGACTATGTGCCTGCAAAGCCTTGACAAACCCTCTGGCAGGTCATATGGTAAACTGGAGCATTCTTTAGGATCACTTCCATCTCTTAATCATGGTGCTACAGTCCTAAGTGCAGCCCACTGGGACTATTTGTCTGTGATCCAAGGACCAGCCTAGTTAAATCCTAAGAGGCTCATCCCCAGAAGGATGACCACCAGGTAATGAGTCTTTTCAACCATTGCAACTTGAGAAATATAGAGAAGCTGGGAGCTGTCTTTGAAAGGATACCTGGATGAAATCAAAGATCCTTTGTTGTATCAAGGTATATTTTATTTAAAAAATGAACAAAAACATGTTCTGCTAGATTATAAGATTACAGTGATGGTAATTCTGCATATTTTTCAAGGACTTGCTTGGGAAATAGGGAAAGCAGAATGGAGATAGCTGTAATCAAGTGATTATAGAGAACTGAGTAAAAAAAAGTGCCTAAGTAAAATTTAATAATGGTTTTAAAATATTTGAAAAGTTAACATAAGAAGGATTTTTCCCTCTCCAAGAAATAGGCTTAAATTTTAACTTGAAATTTAGGTAAGATAAGGTTACCAACTTGTGAAACAATTTAAAAAGAGACTGGTTATCAAGGAAGGCATAAGATCTCCATCACTAGATGTATTAAAGAGTTGAATGATAAGTTTTCTTGAGTAGTTTAATTTTAGTCCTACACAAGAGACTATAGGAGGCAGCATCTTGAATTTCCCTTCTAGATACGTTATTTCCTTTACCTCTTCACATTGCTGCTATGGCTGGCTCTGTTACCTATGTAGAATCCTATTATAGCCTAAAATAAGAGCAGCCAAGGTATAAGAATGTCCTTACCTTGGATTTTCTAAGGCAAATTAATCATATCGCTGTGTTTTT